TATCGTAGCAGATATATCAGTTAACTCTTGAGATTTGCTAGTCTCCTGGCTTTCTTGAGCTTGATCTTCTTCACCTGCAGTAGTTTTTTTCTCGACCAAGGGATTATTTTCATCGAATATAACATGTACAGATTCTTCTACACATAATGTGCGTTTATTATAGACTCTAAAAACTCTACTATTTAATGAATAACCCAGAAAAATACCTTCGTCACTTCTTGGATCGAATTTTCCAAGATTGTCCTTACCGTTGTTGTGAATTAAACACTTGCTTCCGAAGGAATGAAAGTAACTGATGTTTGGACGTTTACCTTTCCATAATTCATAGGGAGTCTTCTTCAAAATGGGCCTTATGAGACATCGATTGAGAATGTGACATGCTGTACTTACACCTTCTGCCCAGAAGTGGTTTGGCAGTGAATGATCGAGTAACATAGTTCTTGCCATATCTTGGAGGGTTCTGTTTTTTCTTTCTACAACCCCATTTTGCTGTGGTGATCGTGGTGCCGAGAAATTATGAGTGTATCCCTGATCATTGCAGAAATCTTCAAATGCTCTGCTTTCGAATTCTCCTCCATGATCACTCTGAATTGTTGAAATCAGATATCCCTTTTCTCTTTCAATCTTTTTGTAGAAAATCTCAAAATTTCTTAAAGTTTCATCCTTATGAGATAAGAAAATTACCCAAGTGAAATGTGAATAATCATCAACAATAACAAAGGCATATCTTTTTCCTCCTATACTGCAGTTCTAGTAGGTCCAAATAAGTCCATATGGAGCAATTGCAAAGGTTTAGAAGTAGATACAATATCCTTATTTTTGAAAGAATTTCTGGTTTGCTTACCAATTTGACATGCATCACAGATATGAGTTCTAGAAAAATTCAGTTTGGGTAAGCCAACAACTAACTCATGTTTGGACAACTTTTCTATCAAATGCATGCTAGCATGACCAAGTTTCCTATGCCATAACCATGGATCATCAGACATGGATGATAAGCAAATATGACCATCTATATTTTCAAAACCATCAAGGATATAAACATTTCCGTACCTTTTACCAGGGAAACTGTTTTAACTGATTCATCTTCAATAGCACAACCTGTTTTCTTAAAGTTTACCTCATATCCTGAGTCGCATAGTTGACTTATGCTCAGGAGATTGTAGTTGAGTCCATCGACGAGATACACTTCAGTGATGTCACAGTTGTTATTGAAGGGAATCGTTTCGGTACCAATTATTTTACCTTTTGAGTCATCCCCAAACTTAACGCTTCCTCCATCAATTTTTGTAACTTCTTTGAATAGGTTTTTATCACCTGTCATGTGACTGGAACACGCACTATCTAGATACCATTTTCCTTTGTGGCTTATTCTGTGGTGTTCCTGCAAAATATAATGATCACTTTCTTTTAGGTACCCAAGCTTGCTTGGGTCCTGGAGGGTTAGTATTGCTAGATTCAGAATTGTTTTTTGGTTTCCAAACCCATCCTAACATGTTGGCTTTACGAAAGCGACAAAATGAATATTTGTGCCCACTTTTGTTAAAATAGTGACACGTAAGTTCTGACCTACCTTTAGGTCTTTCATTAGTGTTAGTACTAGTGGACTTCGTTCTGGCTGGTCCTTTTCCAGTTGACTTGTAAGTCGCCTGGTTTGACCTGACAGAACTGTGACTGGTGGATTTGAGCATGCGATTAAGTTGCATTTGCAATTCCTCAAACTCTTCTTAAAGTACTTCTTTTTCTATTTCACATACTTCGTGTTTGAGTTTCCAGTCTTTAACCTCTCTATTTAGTCTCATAAGCTCATTCATCAGTTTTTGAGATTCTTTCAGAGTTAAATCAAGAATATCCTGCAATTCATTGCATCTTTCACAATCATAAGATCTTACCTCACTTGTTTCACCTCGTGCCATGAAACAATTTTCATTATCATCCTTGCCTTCGTCATCTGAAGTCTGTCCAGCATCCTGAGGATTTGTTCATCTCATTTTCCAGAATTGTCATGAAGCAAAGATTTGCTATCTCTTCGTGATCTGAACTATCTTCATCACTCCAACTTCCAAAGGATTTATTCTTGTTAAAGCCTCAAGAAATTTTTCTTTTTAGTTCTGGGCACTCAGCTTGAATATGTCCAAATCTTCCACACTCATAGCATTTTCCATCATTTTTGTCCTGTTCATTGTATTGCCTGGATCGTCTGGGTGGCATTCTTCCTTTCTTTGTGTTTCTGAATCTTCTCACTAACCCATCCATGTTTCTTGATAGCATAGCAATTTCTTCTTGTAGGGCTTCAGGATCATCATCGATTTCGTTTTCAGCTATTTCATTTGAAGCTTTGAATGCAACTATCTTCTTTTTCTCTTCTTGATTGGTTTTCTTGAGATGCGTCCTTTCAGAAGCTATGAGTTCTCCTCGTAGTTCATCATATGACAATTTGTTTAGATCCTGAGATTCAAGTGTGACTACTTTGGTCTGCCAAGTGGTTGGCAGGCTTCTGAGAATTTTTCCGACTTGATCGCCGCTAGTATATGGCTTGCCAAATGCCTTAGGATCGCTAATTATTTTGCTAAACCTGGCAAACATCTCTTCAATAGATTCTCCTTCTTTCGTAGAGAAGAGTTCGTAATCATGAACCAACATATTGATATGTGTTTCCTTTACTTTGCTGGTTCCTTCGTATGTAACCTCAAGCTTGTCCCACATTTCTTTGGCTGTATCACAGCTCGAGATTTTCTTATATTCTTCACCACTTATAGCATTGTGTAGCAGATTTCTTGCCTTATTGTTAACTTGTACTACTTCCATTTGCTCTTTTGTATATGAATCTATATCTTCAGGATTAGCAAGTGGTGGAGTAGTAGCAGGTAAGGGATAGTTTCCCTTTTTGAAGACTCTCCAAACTTTAACGTCATAAGCCTTGGCAAAGATCTCCATACGCACTTTCCAGTGAGATAAATGTTGACCATTGAAGTATGGTGGTCTAACTTGTGAAGTTCCTTCTTGGAAGAGAGCTCCTATGATGACTTGATTTGCCATAATTTTTTCTCACAAGCTGTTAAGCAAAGAATAGAATGTGAGCCTTGCTCTGATACCAATTGAAAATACAAGAGGGGGTGAATTGTATACAATGGAAATGATGTGATAGCTCAGTTCCTATAACACTCATCTTCTTTTGATACAATGCCTCACCACTGTTATACTCTCCTTTTTCTCTGACTTGTTATACAACAGGTCTCAAAGAACTACAATGTTTGTTTGCAGTAGAATAAAGAGAGAATTTTGGTTTGATCAAAGTATATTTTTTCTAAGGCTGAAAACTGAGTACAAATACTTTGGTGAAGACTTTGAGCAGATGAGATTTGACAGCCCAAAGGATTTGATCCTTGGAAAGAGATTGATTCTTTCCAAGAATAAGATTGCTAGTCGTTGCTCTTCCTTGATGAGAGGAGATTGATCGCCTTCCTTCTACAGTCATTGATGGTGAGATTTTACTTTTTAATTGTTGGTCCTTCCATAGTTGGCAACTCTTGATCGCTTTCCTTCTCCAGGCGTTGAAGATGAGGATTTGCTCCTTGATTGTTGGTCTTTCCAAAATTGGTAGATCAGCTACTCTCCTTGATTTTCTCCTTGAATATGTTGGCCTTGATTGATGCCTTAGTTTTAGGCTTTCAAAGATTCTTTCCTTTGCTGATTGATATCTTTCCTTAAGCATTTAGATTGGCTTCAACAATCTCGTAGTAGCTCCTTGATTCCTTGATCTCTTCTGATTGATTTCCTGCACAAATATATTATTGGCATTATTAAAATTAGATCTAACATGTTATGTCGTGCTCGCTTAATTCTATGGCCCATTTGGCCAATCTACCCGATAATTCGGGTTTGTGTAGGATGCCCTGAGAGGGAAAGTTGTCACCACTTTTATGGGGTGACATTGAAAATATGGTCTAAGCTTTCATGAAGCTACGGCTAGTGCCAAAGCTAGTTTCTCAAGGTGTGGGTACTTTGTTTCAGCATCAATTAAGGTTTTGCTGTATAGTAAATCGGAGATTGCGTACCTTTGTTTTCGCGGATCAAGACTGCACTTACCACGACTTCGGAGACTGCCAGGTATACTAGTAGGCATTCACCCGGGTCTGCCTTGACGAGTAGTGGTGGCGAGGATAGATACGCTTTCAGCTTTCTCAGGGCGTCGACGCACTCTGCATTCCACTGCAATCCGTGATCTTTCCTCAGCACATTGAAGAATTTATGGCATCTATCTGATGATCGTGAAATGAACCTCGACAGGGCGGCTATTCGTCCTGTCAACTTCTGCACCTGCTTCTTGCTAGTCAATGTCTCCGGTATTCCTTCGATGGCTCTGATCTGATCCGGGTTGACCTTGATGCCCCTTTGCGATGCCAGAAAACCAAGGAACTTTCCCGAAGTTACGCCGAATGCGCATTTTTCGGGATTCAATTTCATCCCGTATTGCCTCAGAATCTCGAAGGCCTCCCTCAGATGACCAATGTGATCCTCTTTTTTTTTTTGATTTTACTAGCATGTCATCGATGTAAACCTCCATGGTCTTACCAAGATATTCTTTGAACATTTTGGTGACTAATCTTTGATACGTCGCCCTGGCATTCTTGAGTTCGAACGGCATTACCTTGTAGCAGTACGTTCCTCGGTGAGTGATAAAAGTGGTCTTTTCTTGGTCCTCTTCGGCCATTAGAATTTGGTTGTAACCATAGTAGACATCCAAGAAGCTTAATAGTTCGTGCCCCGCTGTGGCATCGATGAGCTGGTCGATGTGTAGTAGCGGGAAGGAATCTTTCGGGCATGCTTTGTTTAGGTCGGTGATGTCGACACACATCCGCCATTTTCCGTTCTTCTTTTTGACCATGACCACATTGGTGACCCATTGGGGATATTTCGACTCTCGGATGGACCCATTAGCGAGTAATTTATCAACCTCTTCGCTAACCGCCTCGTTGATGGCGGCATTGAACTTTCTCCTAATTTGCCGCACCGGCGGGTAAAGAGGATCGACATTCAGCTTGTGTGTGGCGATATCCCTTGGGATTCCTGGCATATCTGAATGGGAAAAGGCAAACAAATCGGCATTTTTAGTTAAGAACTCATGATATTTACCTGGTTCTGAGAGGTTGTGTCCGATGTAGGCCTTTTTCGTGCCGTCGGTGTTGTCCAGTTGGACGGGATCGAGGTTTTCTATGGTAGCCTTGCAAGTTTCCACGACATTCGGGTCTTTGATGGCCTCTATTTGTACGTCGGGTTTGGTTCCTGATATGGCTGATTGCTATGCTTCCGCACTTGCCCCTTGAAGTTGTTTGGTGTGTGTGCAATCTTGGGCAATGCGGTAGCATTCTTGGGTGGTGCGTTGCTCGCCTCGGATGCTGAATATCCCCCATGGGGTAGGAAATTTGATTACTTGATAGAAACTTGACGGGATGGCTCGCATGGCATGTATCCATGGACGTCCTATGATACCGTTGTAGGCTATTTCTTGGTTCATGACGTGAAATGTTGTTTCCAGGGTGACCCCTCCTGCCAGTACGGACAGTATTATTTTTTTCGAGGTTCGTTCCACTGCATTGTTAGAACCCGTTAGTGTTATGCAACGCGGTATTATCTTATCTTCGAGTCTCATCTGTGAGACGACTCTGGGATGGATAATACACGCGCCGCTCCCGTCGTAAACCATTATTCTTTTCACATCGGTATGGGCAATACGTAAAGTTATAAGTAAAGCATCATAGTGAGGGAAAGACAAACTGTTGGCATCCGACTTATCGAAGATGATACTATCTTTGAAGTCGTCATACCGTTCATGGGTGACTGTCTGCTTGAGTTTATGTGTGGCGGTGAATTTCACATGGTTGATTGCCGCATTGTCGCCACCTCCGATGATCATTTGTATGGTACGGGCTGGCGAGGGTGGCTTTGGTGGTCCTTGAGGTTGATCGCGTCCACGAGCGAAGTTGGTTCGTCCTCGGTCGCTCAACAGCTCTTTCAGATGCCCCTGGTTTAACATTCTTACTACTTCTTGCCGCAGACCTATGCAGTCTTCGGTCTTGTGTCCCTTTTCCTGGTGGAATTTACACAGAACGTTCGATCTCCGGGTGCTTGGGTCCGACTTCATCTTTTGCGGCCACTGCACCTTTGTGCCGAGCTTTTCCAGTGCATATACTATTTCTGAAGGAGAAAGGCAAAAGTTATGAGCAGAAAGCAATGTAGGCCATTTCGTTGTGGACCGGTATGTCGGGGCGTGACATCTGCTTGTCGTGGTGGCGGTGGAATGGATGCCCAGATGTAAGGCTGATGCCTTTCTCGATTGAAACGGGATAGTTGATCCCTCCGACCATCGTTACGGCGCTCCCTCTTTGCTTCGGTCTGGACCGATGTTAGCCGTTGGAGCGGTCCCTTCAAGTCTTCCTCATCCGCTCTTACTTCAGTACAATAGGCATTATGGATTTCTTCCCATGTGGTGGGAGGGTATTTCATAAGCCTGCTCAGCAATTTCTTGGTCGCTTTCGACTCGCTTCTGTTTAACCCATTTTGGAAGGCTGCCACCGCCATTCCCTCTGAAACGTTGGGTAGGCTCATTCTTACCCTGTTGAATCTGGCTAGGAAGTCTCGAAGTCCCTCGCCCATCGTTTGTCTAACGACGAAGATGTCATTTACTCTGGCTTCCGACTTTTTCGCTCACGCGTGAGCGGTAACGAACTTATCTGCCATTTCTTCGAATGTCGATATCGACCGCGCTGGCAGTTGGGAATACTATGTCAACACCCCCCCTCCCGTCAGAGTTTCGCCGAATTTTTTCAACAGTACCGAGGGAACTTATTCTTTTGATAGATCGTTGACTTTTACCACGGTAACATAGTGAATCAGGTGATCCTCCGGATCTGTTGTGCCATCATATATTTTCAAATATGGCGGCATTTTGAATCTTTTAGGGATAGTGTTGGGGGGCTGCTCTTTCACTGAACGGCTGTTCGACGAATCGGCCTGCATCACGTTTTGGTAGCAACTTCTGAGCGCCCGGTATTTTATCGACCCTTTCCTGATGTTCTTTCATCTGATCGTGGAGTGTTTTGTTCTCGTTCTCCATATCTTCCATTTTCTTTAGAATGGACGCGATTGCATCATTACCTGCATCAACGACAATGTGAGTGTTACCTGTGATTGGAGTTTCCGGCTTATCGGCTACATCTGCAGTTTCTACGTGTCTTGTGCCTCCGATATTCCTTTGAGTGGGTTTGTCCAGTATGCTGCTCAGGGTGTTTGTCAGCCATTCCTCTAATAGTCTCTTCACAGCTGGTGGTGCTTCTCCGGCTGCGGACGTTGAGGTTTCCTTCTCGCGTGAGATAGTCACGCTTTCGTGAGGGGTGGACACGATATTTCCCTGAAGTGTAGCACTTGGCGTTACGCTTTCATCGTTTTCCCTGCCGGCTTCATTGATGGAGCCTAGCAGGTTGTTTGTGACGTCTACTATCGCCTTCGATCTTATCTCTTCCTTTTCTGCCATTACAGAACTTTGCGAGGTTGAGGATAGGTGTATACTTCTTTCAGCGATCTAGATGAAACTAAAACCTAGGCTATAGAAATCTCCACAGACGGCGCCAAATTGTTTGGATCAAAAGATATTACAACCTTTTTGAACAAATCAATCAAAGAAAATGAAGGGGTAAATCTTAGCTAAGAATAATAATCATTAGAACGAAAGAAGATAAGTAACGAATACACGAATAATCTTGTCTGATCTCATGAAGATCCGAGATTGGATGTTAGAAAATGTTTATCGAAAAGTATTACAATTGATGCTATATCTTAGAGATGTTGCATACCGAGAAAAAGAAGAAGACCCCCTTTTTACAAAGCCATTCCCCCCGTATATATAAGGGTCAAACCCCCTCTAGATCCTGAAAAGCATATTCCAGGCCCCCCTCTAAGGAATCTCCCTAGCACCTCTTATCGAAGCCGTGTTAAGCTGTGAGGACCTCGCCACTGGTCGTGCTCGTCTATAGTCGTGGTCGTCCAAATTTGGACCCATACATGCATGATGATAATTTGACTTAGGATTCTTCAAAGAAAAAAAAAATTAACTGCAAATGTCTAATGAAAAGAGCATGAAAATCAGAGAAGTACTATTTTTTCCTTTTTTGGTGAGCTTAAAAAACTTAAGGACTTTTTTACCCCCACTATTTATTTGCTATTCAGTTTATAATGTACTACAAGTGAATTTTCGAGATGTTAATAATTACATGTAGTACTGTATACTTAAATTTTTATGATTACTATTAGATTAATTATGTGATCTTTTGGACGTTCTTTTTGAGCATGATGTTCAAAGAGTAGTTTATTTTGCTATTGATTGTATTTTACTTAGAATGCAAATTATGATAGTATCAAACTTTTTTTTGAACTATATCATTTTGATTCAAGAAACATGGAAAATAATATGTTAGATTTCTTATTTCACTAAGAATATATTACTGAAGTCAAATATAAGTAGACATAGCATCTGGAATAAGGTTAAAATTTAAGTTTGACACTTTACGTAATATTTTAGATGTTCTTCGTCATACAATTTTTTTTTAAAATGTAAAGAATATTACTTTAGTTACTTGTCTTAATTTTTTTTCTTTTTCAAAAAATGCATGTTAAACTGCTTTAACGTGATATATATGCTACACGACGAAAGAGTAAGAGCTGGAAAAAAATTGGCCTACAAAAGCACTCCCATATTACTTTTTTAAATGTAAATCTTATTCTACAATGTTAAGAAATATATATATATATATATATATATATATATATATATATATATATATATGTATATATATATATATATATATATATGTATTTNAAATATATATATATATATATATATATATATATATATATATATATATATATGAATGAATAATTTAATTCACATAACATCTAAAATGGAGTTTCTTTTTACCGTTTTCGAATACTAAATGAATAAAAAGTAACTAATGCGTGTCCATTCACTTTTCTTTTTAAAAAAATCAATCATGAAATTAATTTTTAATTTGTAAAATTTTGTTAGAGCATCTTATCAAACAAATTTACTTCAATTTTTCAAAAACACCCTTAAATGTTTGGGACTTAATAGTACTGCTCAAAGAAGAGATGATTTTTTTTTCGGCATGTAATTCGTCTTCAACTTGATTTTTCTTCTCTTTGATAAAAGGTCTTAAAATACTAATAAATAATGTTAACAGAATAGTTTTTCTTTTATACTAATAAAAAATCTCTTGGATCGATAAGTTAATTGAGTTTGAATCAGTCAAAAGTTAATCATAAGTCTCCGTGGGAACGATACTCTACTCACTACTCTATTACTTGACGACCACGTATACTTGCGTGAGTGTTTTTGGTCGCAACACCGAACCCAATAGTTTTTGTTCAAACTCTGTATTTGTATTAAGAAATCCAATAAATATGCCACGACCCAAAATCCACTAAGGGTCATGATGGCGCCGAACACCATTGTCAGGCAAGCCAATACTAAATAACTAGTAACTTCTCGTTTTAGATATTTCTGAATTTACTTCTTTTATACATTTAAACAATAAAAAATAAATTCCACTGAATAAATAATGATATCTTTAACAATTTCAAAATACTGACTAATCCCATAGACATCCCAGAACCAGGTGTCACAAGTGCATGAGCAATTACTAAGAAAATGAATAAAGTTCAATAACTGTCCGGAATACAAATTGGATAGAAAGTAAATACAATACGCTGAAAGAGACTATACTAGCTGCGGGTCGCCTCCAGAAATGCAGCTCACCTAGTCCCTGTATCATTCATGCTGCTACGCCCAGTAGGCCACTAGAAATACATATGCATGTGCAACAAAAATGCACAACAAGTGTAGCATGAGTACGAAAACAACGTGTACTCAGTAAGTATCCCGTCTAATATCGAAGAAGTAGAGATGAGAGGTCGACTTCGACACTTACTAGTGGTCCAATTAGGATACGTCAATAATATAATAAATCGAAGATTTTTATAAACATGATTGTAATTCAATAGAATGAAGCAAGTAAACAATTCTTTCTTTTATAGAAAATTCCCATATTCCTTTTCATCATTTATACATTTATTCTCAAGCCGGGAAGAAACAATATCACATCAATAAATTTCAAGGCAAGCAATACAAGCATGCGCAAATCATGCCGAGGTCGTACGGCCCGGTCCAACAATATATAAACTGTGCACTGCTAGAAGGTCGAATGGCGCGAACCATAGATGCATCTATTTAATCTACCGAGGCGTTCGGCCCGTTCCACAATAGATAAACACATTCAAACAGTCAAAACAATAATTCATCAAGGAGCAATTATTCCGGAAAAGGGCAAGTTTCTCTTTTAAAAGTCAAGAAATGACATCTGGCCTTTTAGAAATTCATTTACACGTTCGATATGTTTTAAGCATTTTTAAATTTTTCAACAAGGTTACAAATATTACAAGTAAAGCATACTTTTGGGCCCTAAACTACCCGGACTTAAGCATAATAGTAGCTACGCACGGACTCTCGTCACCTCGTGCGTACGTAGCCCCCACAAATAGGAGCACATAACCCATTTAACTCACCTATGGGGACAATTCCCTCTTACAAGTTTAGAAAGGAGACTGACCTCGCTCCAAAGTTCCATAACCGGCATTCCACGCCCTTCCGAAGACTCAAATTGATGCACAACGCTCCGAAAATAGCCAATAATTATGCAAATCCATTTATATATGTTCAATTACTCGTAATAATCCAATTTATAACAATTCCTAACCCCGATCGAAAAGTTGACAAAAATGCCCTCGGGCCCACGTGCCCGGATTCCGAATTTTTTTAAAGATAAAGTTTACCCATAACCTCATGAACTCAATTATATAATTTACCCTCAATTTCATGTCCAAAATCGTGGTCAAAATTCAAGAATACTAATTTTCTAGGTTTTCCCTCAAACCCCAAGTTTTCAACCAAATTTCATGCTCAAATCCATATGCAATCATGTATTTAACTCAAAACTAACATAAACCACTTACCTCATGCTTGGTGGTGAAAATGGCACCTCAAAGTTGTCCCAAAATCGGCTCCAATGGAAGAAATGAGGTTGAAATGAACCCAACCCCCGATTTAAAAGAACCTCACTGCTTCCAGCATTTTCGCACCTGCGGTCACTTGACTAATTCAATGGTAGCGCAGGTGCGACCCACTAACTGCTTCTGCGGTCCTCCTCTAGGCCCTCAACTTCCGCATCTGCGTCCTTCCTTCTGCAAGTGCCGTCCCGCTTCTGCGGCAAGATGACCGCATCTACGGTCCCAGCCTAGCCCAGCCACTTCCGCTTCTGCGGCGCCTAGGCCGCTCCTGCGGTGTGACGACCCAAAGGGTCATCACCTATTTCCTCATCTATTCCGTGCTTTCGAGGCCTTAAAACCTCTTTTTTTTTACTTGCCTCGATTTGCGTGCGCACTCCGGACGCGTAGCCGGAAAGCTTTTATGTTGAAATATGTGAATTCCGTGAAAAATTTGAAGAATTTTGATATTAATATGATTATAGTTGACTTTGGTCAAGATTTTCGGTAAACGGACCCGGACCCGAGATTGGACGGTCCCG